TCCCGAAATCGTTGCGAAAGGTGTTTCAATGGGGTGCGTTGCTTTCGTTTGTGATGGCACGACCAGCGCGACCCGTTTCGCTGCAATAGTTCTTCGCTTTTGGTTGCGACCGCTATGATTACGTTGGTGACGGTGGGTGATGGTGGTTGTCGTTGCATAGGGATCCGCCTCGACGAGATCACTATTGAGAAACCATACAGCACACATGGAACTCTTGTGATTGCGTTGGTGACTGACCCTCACCGTGGCTGACAATAATAGCTTCGCGCATCCCCACCCAAACCGCCCCATGGCATCCATTTGGCGGTTGTCCTTCGGCCTTCGTCGAGTCGCCGCGGGCAAATATCAATCAATGTCCTCGGACTCCTCCCTTGCAGCCCGGGCCCAGATCACATGGTACTCCACAAGTTCACGACCTTGGACCGGGCCGCGGAGGACCCGCTATCTGCCGTCCGTCGCCCCTCAGCAAGCTCACCCGACCAACTTGGGGGACTTGGCCCGTCGGCGTCAACTCTACTGAGGAGTTCGGGGCGCTACGACGCGCCTACCTGGTTTACTGCGTCCCTAGTTGCTTAGGAGAAGATGGCCTTATCCGTTTTTCCCCCACAATTCCATGTTCAAGCGTGGAAGCACTTTGAGCAGAGCTTGTGGCACTTGCCAACAATCCCCGCCTCCACCCAACTCCACTGCAGTGTCCCCGTGAGCCCTTCACGATACTTCACGATCATAACTCGGCCTTCAGAACCCTACCAACTGCTTCGAGCTGGCGGGCGCCATGGGGCCCCAGCTGGCCCTGGAAGCCACCGAGTGGGTGCAGCACGGGGGCGCCATGTGAAGCCAATCGACCGGCTCCTTTGTGAGGTGCCAAAGGAGTTGTCGGCGAGGTCCCACGGTCTGTCCTTTTCACCCTCTTGTGAGGGGAATCAGCACCTCCACCGTTTTTTCGCACAGGCAGGGCTAGTCTCGGTTGCCCGTCAGCGCCGATTGCTGAAACAGCTACTTCAAGGGATGTTAATGAGCATGCCGTTGAGGGTCGGGTTTTTGTAATAAGTAACGGTTCGCGATCGAACTCTGTTCTGGCGGAAGCGGCATTTTGCCCATCCGGACTAAACAACAACTACTCTGAGCTTGCTGGTGCCTGCGAGACCGTAGGTATGTCCGCGTGAGATGCAGGTCGATCTGGCAAAATGTAATCGATACGCTTTGGCGGCTTCTGTTAGGAAGGACTCTATTCAATGGGGTCGGGATCGACCAGCTCTATTTGGAGAAGTGACATGCCTATACGAGAGGGAGCTCATCAAGGTGGCTTTGTATTCAAGGGATTCTGGGTGTCTGTATAAGTGACCTAGCAGCTGCAATCTTTGTTGTGAATAGAGTTGTGAGAAGAGTCGGTATTTTACTAGTGGAAAATGTCAGGTCCGCCTGGTATTCATCAGAGCCTTCCGCTGCAGAGACTTAAAGTGCATGGTATTGAGTTGAGTGAATTGTGCCAGGGAAAGGAGCGCGCTGTCCATAGCGTATGTCGGGGTCGATAAGATTCTTGAGCGATGAAGCGCAAGTTTCCATGAAGGAAGAAGGAATGAATGAGACAAAAGCGGACGTAACACTCACGAAGCGGTAACCGCCCATGAGACACGATAATTGTCTATTCGAGGGCAGTGAAGCAAAGTATACACCGAGGTATTTGGCCTCGTCAGATAATGGGACAGGGGTGAAATCAAAAGCGGAGTAAAAAAGACAGGAACAGAGGTTGGATGATGGGGGGAGTAGTAAATGCGTTGTGCAGAATGAAGGCAAGGATGCTCACACTCATCCTGGTTAAGGGTGAGGCCTCCGGAGTGGCCGTGGTGTTGAACCAAGTGGAAGAGGCGGCTTGGCTGTTGGATTGAACAAGACAGGAGAACAATGTCGTCGGTATGCTCAGGGTCCCACAGAGGAGAAGGCACGGGAAACACGCCCGATATTTCACCATACTGTTATTGATAGCTTAGTTAAACATCACAGAAGAAATGGGTGAGGACTAGCCGGATAAGGAAAGAGAAAAGGGACAGCCTGGACGTAGGCCTATTTTGGTTTGAAAACAAATATTAGAGCGCTGAGAAGAGTCGCGGACGACCAAGGCTGGGTTTCGATGCAGCGCCATGATGATTGAAGCGGTATGAGAAGAGTGCCCACGCGTGTTCCTAGCTGGACTGGAGCATAGATGCGATAATCTTGTAAGAGACGCTAGCGAGGAAGATGCGGCGATAATTGCAAAGAGGGTGAGTACTGTTTTGTGGTTGTTGAGGAGCATAACAACCTCAGAGAAGAGCCAAGTGTCTGGGATGGAAGCGGCGGAGTAAACATTGACTAGTGATCAAGCAGATCTAATCTCGAGATGAAAGGAGCGTGCTTATAAATTTCACTGGAGCCACTAGGGATGTCGTGGTCAAAAGCTTACGCTCACCAAAATCACCGAAACATGTATCAAACAAACAGAAACAAGCACCTAGTTTACAGAACATGCACCAGGACAAATGTAAGTGCGCCAAACCCAAAACACGCACACAGCGTTACTGAAACGATTTCTTTTCACTCGCTCCATTTCTGTTCGCTGCACAGGAAACACCCCGGAGAACACTCCATGTCCGGCGGCCCTTGCCATGTAAGATTCCACTTTCAGCAGAGGCGTGAAGTATTTCTTGCTTATCCCAACATCAAGACAAGGAGAGCGGATCTACTTTGCCGGCGTCCCTGACATACTGTGCTCTATCGACCGGAGGCTACGAACCTTGGAGACCTGATGCGGATATGTGTATGAGCAAGCTGTGAATAAGTTTGTCCTTCGGATCTTCAAGGGCAGTCAAGTCGAGAACACCGGACACCTCGAAAGACCAGGTGCTACAACCGCAATTTAACCCTACGTGTGTATTAAATGCGCACGTACATTATCAATACCCGACCTCATCCGACCTGACCTGATCTGAACTGACCTGACCTGACATGACCTGACCTGACCTACTTGACCCGATCTGAATTGACCTGACCTACCCTGATCTGATCTGACCTGACCTGATCTGCCTGGCCTGACCCCGAAAGAAGTGAAGCCTGTTGGTAGCAAGACCTGAGCCCGAAGAGTCGAAGTTGGGTGGCAAACCCAAGCCCTAAACCGTAACAAGGGAGGTTAAAACAAACCCCAGCCCTGCCAGGGCTTGTTTCGTGGCAAGCCCAGAACCCTAGAAGGCGATGTTGGGTGGCAAAGCCAAACCCAAAGCCCTAAAAAGCAAGGTTAGGACAAGCCCCCAGCCCTGACAGGACATGTTTCGTGGCAAGCGCAGAACCCTAGAGGCGATGTTGGGTGGCAAAACCAAACCCTCTTTGAGACAACATGTTTCGTGGCAAGCCCAGAACCCT